TGTGTCGGGCGGGTACACCTGATTCTCAGTAACTAGAGGCGGCGGCAGCTTCTCATGCAGTGCGCGTTATTGCTCTATAGTCGGCATCGGACTAACTAAGAGGGAGGGGAGCGGGCAGCCCCGGGACGGTCGGGAGGAGGGTGGGGCTGCATGCAGTGACGTCACAAAGGCGGCGGCCAATGGGGCGGGCCCTTGGGGCGGGGTCGCCGCCGAGGCTTTGGCATAGACGGGCGCAAGTTGGCAACCGAGTGGGGCGGGGCCTGGATCTCGGGGAGGCTCCCGGGAGGCAGAACCCAGAGAGGGGCGGGGAAAGTGATCCTGGGCACCCCGAGCCCCCGGCGTCGGCGGGAAGGACGGGGGTTCCGCGGCCCTTCCTGACCCGAGTGCAATCTGTTCATAAACAAAACGTACAAATACAGAAAGAAAGAAACCCGACGCGTCCGCAACCCCCTCCCAGGGGGCTTTACCCGCAAAGCGAATAGAGAGATGTGTAGAGGGCAGTGTCCAGGCCAGCCTGCCAGGCCCCAGGAATCTGTCCTCCGACACCAAATGCCCGGGGTACGGGGGAGGGGGCCCCGGGGCAGGGCGGGAGCGGGGTCTGAGGAGGTCGGTAAGTCCATGCGATTCGATATGCGTCATTGTGCTTCGTTATGGAGGACAGAGCCCCGGAAGCTGGGCTGGAAGAATTCGGATTTGGCAGAGGGTGCGTGGCGAGGGTAGGAGGGCGGCTCGGACTGGCTCCGGAAGGAGCCCGAGGAAGGGGGTTGCCGCCGTCCGCCCCCCTCCCCGTCCCCAACGCGTCTTATACTCCCGGAGTTCGGGGACAGCTGCGGAGTCGCGGACGCCTCTGCAGGCCGCACCTCCCCTGCTCCCCTCCCGGCCTGCTGCCTGGGAGGGGCTGGCTCCCTGGACGTCGGGGCCGCGGGCCGGCCCTGGAAGGCTTGGGAAAGGGAGGGGAAGACCTGAGTCTCTGCGACGTGACCCAGGGGCGCAGAGGACGGAGAAGGAGGGCGCTCCCTACCTCACCCCACCCCCAATCATCAGAGACCCAACTGGGAGATGAGGTTCGGTTCTGGGTCTAGTAGACCCTATTGCTGGGAGAAAGCCTGGGGCACCCTGGAGGGGAGGGAGGGGCTTGGAGTGGGTCTCCCCTCGGGACCCTATTGCTTGAAGGGGCCCACAAGGGCCCTGGCGGGCGGGGCGGGGTGGGGCCGGCCCCCTCCCCCTATTGCTGTGAGGAGGGGCCCGCCCTCCGGCCCCCCCGCCCGGAAGCCGGCGGAGACGCCCCTGGCCTGTATTGCTGAGAGCCGACCTGGCTGGCGAGGCCCCGCTCTAGGCCTGCACAGGGCTGAGTTGCGGCGCTGCGGGGGCCGCGGGGACGCCGCTGCCGGCGCCGCCCTTGAAGCAGGCCGACTCGTAGTGCTTGTTGAGATAGGACTTGAGCGCGAAGCTTTTCTTGCAGCGCTTGCACTGGAAGTGCTTGAAGGCCGAGTGCGTCTGCATGTGCGCGCGCAGGTTGGAGCGGTCGGCGAAGGCCTTGCCGCAGTGCGCGCAGCCGAACGGCTTCTCGCCGGTGTGCGAGCGCATGTGGCCCTGCAGCAGCCAAGGCCGCGAGAAGGCCTTGCCGCACACGCCGCACTTGTGGCGCAGGTCGTGCGTGAGCAGGTGCATGGCCATGGCCGGCATGGACACGTACACCTTGCCGCACGTCGGGCAGCGCCGCGCCAGCTGGCTGTCCAGGCTGCGGTGCGTCTGCTTGTGGCGGCTCAGGTTCGACGACGTGGCGTACGTCTTGCCGCACTCGCCG